ATTACAAACCATTAGAACAGGAGTCCTTTATGTTAACTAAATGCTAAGAGTCAACCTGAGTGCTAACTTTATAAAGCTTGGGAGTGTGTAAGAGAATTAGAAAAATGCATAAAAATCAATAAAAGATAACTGTAGTGATAAATCCTTAAGAGCCAAAATTATGCACCCAAATTTGGTATTCTAGTCCCAGGTAACATTCCAATAAAAGTCTAGGGCAACTGGATAGACTATAACAATCAGGGCCAGAAATAATAAGGCTTCTCTTTAGAAACATTTCTCTAAAATTGTTAATTCCTTCCCATTTTGAAGGAAAAAAAAACATTTTCTTATAGAAAGGAATGATGAAGATGCTTCAAAATATGCATTAGAGCAAAAATTAAAACTGAAGGCATTGAGTATCGATTGTCATAGGCATTATTTACACTCATTAACATATCCTCAAATAAGCCTGCAACTCCTGGAAAGAGTGTTTTTAAATTTTTAAATGCCTTTGATTTCTCAGTCTACGCTAATAATACTTTTCTTCTTAGAGAAAGAAATTTCACATGTGTAACTTGCTCTGTATTCAATCAATCAGCGAAAGATCTATACTTTTGCCAACTACCATCATCTTAGAGTGATGGCTTAAAGTCTATAAACAGCTGCTAAAGAAATGAAAAATATTCAAAAAATGCAAGAGCCAATCACAAATTCATCATCAGTCACCTCTTCTAGAAATGAAAATATCATTTCTAGATAAATACAACAAAATATTAATGCAAACATTCTGAAATCACCTTGCTGAAATCTTGTGCATTTTCCTTCAAATTTCAGTCTCACTATTGCACATGCCTCCTGCAGATAAGGGCTAAATGCATAAATTCTGACCTTGTCAAAACCCACCATTCTTGAAAAAATGAAAAAGAATATCAAAGTAAATGTGCAAGTAAAATTGGTGCTTAAAGCATGTTGGAAACCTAAGTCCCCAAGACAAAGGAGTTACACCTTGTTGGCAGAAAAACAACCAAGTAACTACACCCGATTTTTCCACTTGTCTTTAATAAGATCTTATTTAGCTAGCACATACACACAGACCAAAGACAGATAAACATCGCAAGCTAACAAAAATTACCACGTATTGAACTGAGTTTCCCATTCTTCAGTTTTTAACTGTACTTCCTTGTTGAGGGGTAATAATCAGTTCAGGTAGAAAATAAGTTATCGACATACTTTTTCAAATAACAGTCTGTTTATCTTCAGCTTCACGAAACAGGTATAACAGTCTTACGCTGCATGTATTAGAGAATCTAGCATTCAATCTGAGAGCTTGGCACTCGCCGCATGTTTAGGGCATGCCGATGTATTTCCTGCATCTGTCTGATGCGGTCCTTCTGCCACATTAGGTTTTGAGGCATAGGATATCTCTGTGTGCCATGCAAGTACCGGTATGGGATTCTCACATGACAAGCAGTGGCTCTACAACGAGGTTGTGGCATGGGAGGAAGAAGCATCCACCTCTTTCTCTCAGCACAGTATCGGTAGGCTTCTTTCCGATACTGTTTGTCAATATCATCACTGTTCTTCCAGCCTCCAATAATGAAGACGTCATCTTTGTAATAGCAAATGGCTGCTCCTTCGATGCTTAGGACTTCTGGAGGCAGGCTTTCAAGGATCTCATCAGACACTTGGCTGGCAATTTTTCTTATGGCCTCTTCATTTTCTAAAGAGTAAGTCTTGGGACAGCACGATGCTGTCTGATAAAAGTTTGAATTGACCACAGACATTTGGAAAAAGCAGTAATTGTCAATAAGGGGCAAAGACTCCACATCTTTCCACTGTCGAGTCTCTGTATCATAGCAAGTAATTACAGCCCTTAATCCATCTTCAGTGTCCCGGTCCACGGGAGTGCGGGCAGCAATGTACACAAAGCGGTCTTCAATGGCTAGCGCTTTGACATCTCGAAGAATCTTTGGTGCCGATTCCAAGTTGTGCCATTTATCAAGCTCAGGATTATAAACAGTCACATCTTTAAAACCAGGACTAAAGTTGCCATGTCCTCCAATGCTATAGAGCTTCCCTTTGACTTCTGTCAGCCCAAAAGAATGCTTTCTTGTCATCAGACTACAAACATGTTCCCATGTATTCAAATTTGGGTTATACCTTTCTACGGTTTTAGCAAACCCTGGTTCCATTGATCCAGCAACATACACATAGGACTCTGTTACTGCAACTGCATGTCCATCAAGGTGATTATGAATATGGGGCAGGTTTACCCATCTGTCCTCATCAACAAAATAGCCCACACATTCACTTAAATAGTCCCCTCCTTCTGACACACCTCCAATAACCATGATCACGTCCATGTTTTGCCCATAACGAGGTAATAAGGAGACATGAGAAGCAGGGTGCTGGAAGGTGCCAGATTGTATATTCTCAGCTCTCAGGGCATGCCTCTCCACTGCATCAGCCACCAACTTGACACAAACTTCATTACTGGCTACCAGCCTCTCTGGTTTGACATGCCGAGTAAGGTAGGTAGGTTTCATCTGGGACAACCTGAGCAATTTAAAAAGTTCTTCAAAGTATCTCTCTCTATCTTCAGCATTTCTCTGAACCCACTTCAAAACTGTTTCAAAGAGAACCTCTTCAGAATCAACTGTAATTTCCAAGTCTGATAGCCAGTCTCGAATGAGATGGAAAGGTAGAGTATAAAATTCTTCATCCTGAATTACTTTGTGGAAATTTCTCCGTATCATATCAGCAGCTTTCAGAGCAAGCTGGCTCAGGGTGTACATGTGAGCTAAGCTATGAATGGCCACACAGTTTGAGAGATGAAGCTTTTTCTTGAGAAATTCTCCACAAAATTCTTTTAAACGAATTAATAGGAACCTGAAATCAAGAAAAAAAGATTATTTTTCAAATATGCATGCTGTATGTGGTTACATTTTGAGAGTAGCTGAGTTATACAAATTGAAATGGTGAGATTAGTGTCATCTTACATATTAATACAACATCTGAAAAAAGAAAATCCTCCCAAATTAGAAAATATTGTGCTCGAAAATGTACGTTTAAAAGCATATATAAATGCCCCCACCTCAGCCGCCCAAGTAGCTGGGACTACATGCATGTGACACTGCACCTGGCTGGAGTTTTTTTACATATCATTTAATAAAGTACAATAGTCCCAAACTTCATTTCCACTTTAATTTGTCCTTGGCAAAGGCAAATTCCAATACAAACTGTCTCTGCCATCCTTTCCTAATCTCTTGCCAGTCACCAGCCTCTTCTTAAATGAAGCAGGGTCTCAGTGAAGAGACCTCATCAATCATCAACTATATGGTATAAAGTGAAAGTCAGGCAGGAACTGTGACTTCTTGAAGGCTCTATTTGGTCAGGCATCAGAAGGAACAGCAAGGAGTCTAGGCTTTGTGTCAGAGGTTTTAATTTCCTCCTCACCAGAACCTTCTTCTTGGGCAGCCTGATGGGGTGAGGTGCTTAGGGGAACCCAGCCCTGAGCTGGGTTCCCATTAAAGTGGGGATGGCAAGGCAAACTCAAAACATCTGAAGAAATCAGGAAACAAAACAAAAACACAACAAAAAAACATGTGTAGGACGGTCTAGGTTAAAAAACAAAAGAGACAAGAGACTGGTTTGGCATGTAGCTGCATGTAGCTGACTAGATGTCTGCCCACCTAAATCATTTAAAGTTAAATTTAAAAAAAACAAAACACAATCCACAATAGCTACAGCTAAATTCATAAATCTGGCAGCATCCAGCCTGAGGGTAGCTATTGTTTTACAAAGAGTAAGTTCCCAGAACTGAGAAGAACCTTAAACAATATAAGGATGACCTCATCAGTCCGACCTCTCTCTCTCAATTCATAACCATTTGTTACTATGGTTATTGTGTTTAATAACTATCTTAACTACGATATAAAAATGAATAGGACAGGTTCCCTTCACCCTCTTAAGGGGGCACACTGCCTTAGAGATAAAACAAAGACAAGATACAGTGGCAAGGGCTTTAGTGGCTCCCAGATATGTCTGGGTGCCAGGGCCACCTAGCTCCCAGACTACCCTGAGCTCCTATTTTTAGCAGGCACTCCAGGTAATTCTGAGATACATTCCCCTAGACAGGTGTTTGTAAGCACTGCTCTATGCAAACAATAGCTATCATGTTCTAGGCATCTGTCACGTGAAGGGCATCGTGCAGGGCACATTCTATTATTTCTGATCCTTCTAAGTGCCCTGTAAGGTAGGTATGATCACCAATAGACAAAATATACCGGGGGGGCGGGGTCCTGCCTCAAAGCAGGACATTATGATTATAGGGCACTCTGAACAGTGCCTGACACAAGACAGCTGCTCAGCAGCTGACAGATGGAGAGAACTTAAGAGTTTTAAGTGAATTGCCTGAAGTATGCTCTCCTCTCCTCACCTCTAACTCCCAATAAAGCAGGGCAAATCTAACAAACATAAGATCACATGACAGAAGCAAACACAGCTTTAGTGAGTGCGATAACACTTCTCCATCCATTTTTTTTCTTTTCAAAGAGACGTTGACAGAGCTCTATCCATTTTCATTGAACAAACCCCCCTCCCTCAGACCTATACCCATCCCACTCTACCTTCTGATTAATGACCCGGCCTCACACTTTGAGAAAACAGAAACAATCAGACAGGAACTTCATTTTCCTACCACCCAATCTACCTGCTGCTGTAACCTATCCTTTACCTTCCCGGTCCAATGTTTCCAATTTGATTTTTATTTTTTATTTTTTTGAGACAGAGTCTCGCTCTGTTGCCTGGGCTAGAGTGCCGTGGCATCATTATAGCTCTCTGCAACCTCTAACTCCTGGGCTCAAGCAATCCTCGTGCCTCAGCCTCCCAAATAACTGGGACTACAGGTACACACCAGGATGCCCAGCTAATTTTTTCTATTTTTGGTAGAGACCAGGTCTCACCCTTGCTCAGGCTGGTCTCAAACTCCTGACCTCAAGCAATCCTCCCACGTCAGCCTCGCAAAGTGCTAGGATTACAGGCGTGAGGCACCGCACCCAGCTAACCTTTCCAATTTTAATATGGATTCTATACTGAAGGAAATCAGAATATTTCACCCCAAATATACTTCTTCAGCACATTTCACTATGGCTATTCCAAGGGGCTGCAAACCACAGGAATAGTTCTGAAAAGCTGTCTTTTGTGGGAGAGATTTGCATCTCTAGAGAAAATCTACATTGGTGAGGTAAACAGCAAGGTAGACAGTGATGAAAACAGGCTTTCTCTGAGGCCTCTCCTTATCCAAAACTTTTACCACAGGCTACATCTATTCTTTCTTTCTTTTATTTTTTTTTTTAAGAGACAGGGTCTCATCCTGTCACCCAGGCTGGAGTGCAATGGTGTGATCATAGCTCACTGTAACCTCCAACTCCTGGGCTCAAGCAATCTTCTTGCCTCAGCCTCCCCAGTAGCTGGGACTATCGGTGCCCTGGCTAATTTTTCTTATTTTTTTGTACAGACAGGGTCTCACTATTGCCCAAGCTGGTCTGGAGTTCCAGGTCTCAAGCAATCCTCCTGTCTTGGCCTCCCAAAGCACTGGGATTAAACGCATGAGCCAACACACCTGGCCTTTTCCTGTTGACTTGTCTTTTATTGATGGGAAGAAAAGGATCAACGCTTTCTTGGTTGCAGGGACTTTATTCCTGCAATTATTCCCCTGCTCCTGAAACATTAATTTCTCCTCTTCCACTGAATAAATTTCATCAGCACACAAACATCCTCTAGTATCTCCTACCTTGGGTGGGTATTTACCTCCCTTGACCATCCCCTTAAAACATTTCCACATTTGTACTCTTTTTCTGATCCTCTTTATAAAGCAAGGGTTAACTAGCTCTTGTCAATACCATCCAGTGATTTATGGGTTGAGAGTTGCCACAACTGGCAACTCCCTCCTTGACGTTCTTCTTCCTAGGTTTCCATGGTATCAGTCTCCTCTGCTGGCTCCCCTTTAACATTCTAGAGAACCCCAGGGTCCTGCCTACCCTCTCTCCCTGCCCCATTTCCATCTACACTCCCTAAGTCATTTCATCCAGTCCCATGGCTTTAGTTAACAACTATATGCTAATTCCAGCCCCATCCCCGTATCTCCAGCTCCCAATGTTCTTCTTTATTTTTTTTCTGAGACAGTCTCATTCTGTCACCCAGGCTAGAGTGCAGTGGCATCAGCCTAGCTCACAACAACCTCAAACTCCTGGGGTCAAGCGATCCTCCTGCTTCAGCCTCCCGAGTAGCTGAGACTACAGGTGCGCATTACCATGCCTGACTAATTTTTTACATTTTTAGTAGAGATGGGGTCTTGCTCTTGCTGGTCTTGAATTCTTGACCTCAAGTGATCCTCCCACCTTGGCCTTCCAGAGTGCTAGGATTACAGGTGTGAGCCACCGCCCGACACCTCCCAGTGCTCTTATACCCAACAGCCTACCCAGACATCTTCTTAACCAAAACTAAACTCCTAATCTTCCTCCCAAACCTGCTCTTACTGCAATCTTCCACATCTTAATAACTCCATCTTTCCAACTGTTTGAGTCAAAAAACTAGCAGTCTTTTCCCTTACATCCAACAAATCCATCAGCAAATCCATCTACCCTACCTTCAAAATATATCTACAACCACAACACTTATTACCTTCACTTCTTCCTACTCAATCCAAGCCTCCATCACCACTGCAACAACCTCCTACACTAGTCTCTCAGCTTCTGTCCTTGCCACTCTCTCCCCAAGGCTCCACCCTCTTTACAACACAGCAAAATTCATCAAATCAGATTGCGTCATTCTTCTGCCCCACACCTTCCCATTTCATTTAGAGTAAAAGCTCAAGTCCTTCCTCAGGCCAACAAGGCCCTGTGGGATCGGGATCCATCACCATTACCTTCCTGAGGCTTCTCCTGCTCCTCTCACTCTGCATCCCTTTGATACAGCCACATTGGCTCCTGGCTGTTCTCTAACATCTAGACAAGCTCCATCTCAGGGCCTTTGCACCTGTGTTCCCTACCTGAAACACTCTTTACCTCGCCCCTCAGTTCTCTGCAAAATGTCGTCTTCGTGAGGCATTCTCTATCCATCCAATTGAAACAACAGTTCCTCTCCACCAGCACTTTCTATGTGCCCCCGCCATCATGCTTTACTTTTCATTACAATGATAACAATCATCTAACAGCCTATATAGTCTACTTACCAATGGTAAATACTGTAAGAAAAAGGACTTTTGTCTGTTTTGTTCACTGCTGAATCCCAGCATCGGGTGTGTGATCTGACGCATAATAGGCACTCAATAGGTATTTGTTAAAATAATGAATCTGTAAGATGATACTGCCAAAACAGACTCCTCCCTACCTCTATAAACAGTATTCATCTGCCAGCTAACCAGGCTCTAGAGCATTCATTCCTGTTCCCTACAATCCGTTTACCACAGTAGCAGAATAATCTTTTAAAATATTTAAGTCAGATCATTTCTTTACCCAGCTGCTCATCACACTCAGTCAAATCCAAACTCCTTATTCCAATGCAACTCACACACCCTTCTCCTATTCACCCACTAGATCCAGCCTCATTCTGTTTTTTTTAAGTTCCTTCTCCAAGCCAAACTGGATCCTGCCTGAGGGCCTTTGCGCTATCAGCCTGGAATGTTCATCCCCCATCTTTGCATCGCCAGTTTTTTCTTTCCATTTAGAGGTCGGTTTAAGTGTCACCTCCTTAGAAAGGTCTTTCTTCTACTCAATCACTATCCTTTCATTCCTTTTGAATCTCAGCACAGCACTCATCACATACTTTCCTTTTCATTGCCTTTGTCCCTCTACCTAGAATCTGCGCTCCCACGCCGGACCTGAGGCTGCAACCTCAGAGCCCAGCGCGCTGTCTGCCCCACACCGGGCGCTCCCCAGCGAGAATGAACCGAATGCATCCACTGAGGGCTCGCTGGCTGCGGTGCCCAGACACTGCTCTACCCCCTCCGCAGGCCCCTCCGGGGGCTAGCATCTCCCCTTCTCCGCGCCGCGCCCTCCCTCCGCGCTCCCGCCTCCCTCGCCTACCTGTCGGCCAACTCCAGCACCTCGTGCACACTGCCAGTGCTGACTCGGATGCGCCCGGTGTACATGTATTCGATAACGGCTTCCACTGTGTCGGGTTCGGGCCCCGGCTCGGAGCTCCACTTGCGCATCTCCACCCGGCCCGAGCGGGACTCGGAAAACTGGCCTGAGAGCAGGGGCGTGAAGTACTCAGTGGCGGCAGCCAGCACCGAGCGGTGGGCCCGGAACTCGCGGCCTCCGGCACCGCCGAAGCACAGGGTAATGTCACAGAAGAGGCCCTGGCGCCGCTGCTCGTTCTGCCGCCAGGACAGCTCTGAGCAGTGAGAGCTGCACTCGAAATCCTCGGCCTCTGGGCCCGGATCGCCCCCGCTCGCCTCCATTGCAGAGATCCCGGGCCCCGGCCCGAAGTCAACCGTGCCGCTGCCTCGGACTTCGGCAGCCAGCCCCGCCGAGCCGGCAGCGGCCGTCTCCATGCTCTCCATCTCCAGCACCTGAAGAGATGCAGCCGCCGCCGCCGCTGCTGCCGCTGCAACAGCCGCTGCCGCCATCTTGATGCCACCGCGGCCGAGCTCCGCAGTCACAGAACGACGCCGCCGTTCTGGTGCTACACAGAGGGATTCTGGGATTAAATAGTGCGCGCGGGGCGGAGCCGGGCCTCCCACCGGCCGCGCATGCGCCGCCGCGCCTCCCGCAATCCGCCCACCCTTGATAGGGTTCGACTGCAATCTCTCCCAGTGGTGACTTCACCCCGGGCCTCCCACCCTGGTCTCGGTAGGAGGATGGATGCTCTCGGCAGTCACTTTGTAAAGTAAAAGCCATCTTAGACCACCACACGTGGTTAAAGCCTTGATATATAGGAAAAATATAGGATTTTTATTTAAAATGGCTTTGGAGTAAACATTTTAGAAGATAAAAAGACCAAGGCCTGGCTAAGCGGATGAGGGTGAGCAAGTTACTTATTATCTCTGAACTAATTTATCTTCTGAAATCGGGGATATTGTCTGTCTTGGAAGATCACTGCAAAGGTTCGATGAGATAATGCTCACGTCAGGTGTTTTGCATAGAGCTTGGATCATAGTCACTGTTGATGAATAAAAACCACTTTTGGGTTTTAAGCAAGGGAGCGGGCCAGTTCAATGGGTTTTTAAAAATATCACTGGTGGCTGTGTGAAGAATGGACCCTACAGGGACAAAAGGGGAAACAGGAGCACCGGTTAGCAGACCAGATGTGGACAGACCAGAGGGAGAGTTAAAGGGTAAATCAACAGAACATGGCAACCAGAGAGTAGAGGAAAGGGTGATTCCCAAGCTTTTGGCCTGAGTATCTTTGTTTACCATTCACTGAGAAAGCCGGAGGTACCGATTTTAGGGGAGAAGATAATCGGGGGTTTTATATTTTTTGATGCTAGTGTTTTAATTTTATTTTTTTAAGAGGTAGATGAGCATTTTTAACAACGTGTACTGAAACTATCAGAAAGTACAGTTCAAAGGGAATACAGATGAAAAGATACAGATGACAGGAGACAGCAGTATGCCTTCATTGTTACTATATAGTTTATTTAAACCAAACTATGATAATACAGAGAAGAGACTGAGGTGGCAGCTGCCTAGAATCTTTGTGGATGACAGATGCAAAGCAGCTGGAGATGAGCCCTTGGACCCACACTTCAGTTACAGACAAGTCAGCTGCATAAATAGAGAACATAAGACACAAGACATTTCACAGCTTTTTTCTTTGCGTTTCCATTTTAAACATACGTTACAACTTTGCATTTTAAATTACTACTCCACATATTCTGTGACAATGGTTAAGGATGCAATGGTCCCATCCCCTCGATGTAAGCAGACTTTGATCTGCAACACATAACGTTTCAGCAGGATACCAAACAAACCCTTAACACATAACATACAAAAAGATCCTTAAAAATCAGATTAATACAATGTTCTTCATGTTATATAAGGAGAACGAAAGGGAAGTGGAAAAACAAAACAGCAGGGGTGCTTTAAATGTATAGTATCTTGAGGTCTTAAAAATTTCATTCCCTTCCTCCAAGGGAAAAAAAATGTTTTAACTAATGAAAAAAGAAAGCAACGTCATAACACACCCTACAATGAGCAAGAACACTATCCTGACAGTGCTTAGATGCTTCCATATAATAAATACAGCAGGTAGCAGAGCAAATGTCACAAGTATTGGCTTGGTTTTTATTTCTATGCTTATAAAAAAAATATTAAGCTTCTTTGTGTGGACTGAACAAGTGTTAGCCTCTGGGTGTTGGCCTTCAATGCCTGTACACCAGTGGCTGTTTACATTCCAGGCCATCCTATGGGAGGCTTCCCTGCCAGCTGTCTGCACGCTTCTTCCCAGGGGGAGGACTTCTTGTCTTCAGTTTACTGCAACAGGGTTCCTGATGCAGTTACATGCTCATGTGTTCTGGAAGAACATATGAAATATCATCCCACGGATGACGATACAGCCCCTGCTTCAGCCTCTTCTGGTCAAGATAGTGTCCTAAAATGAAGTAAATGCATCTTTTTGTTAGAGTTCTGTAAGCCTGGTGAGGGGGGAAGGATAAGGAAGGGACATCTTTCTAATACAAAACAAGCAGATATAAAGCAGTGGGGAAGTGAAGCCAGATCCATTCCATAGGGAGATATGACACACTTGGTAAAAGGGAACCATTGGATTTAATTCTATTTTCCTGGGCTAACAATTGTTTCTAAGAACAAAGGATAAAGATAAGGGGGAAGTTACAGTAAGGAAGGAAGGATTAAGAACAATGATTAAGGGCTGGGCACAGTAGCAAGAGACTGGAGACCCCATCTCTACAAAAAAAATAGAAAAATTAGCTGGGCGTGGTAGCATGAGCCTGTAGTCCCAGCTACTTGGGAGGCTGAGGCAGGAGAATCATTTGAACCCAGAAATTTAAGGGCTGCAGTGAGCCATGATGATGCCACTGCACTCTAGCCTAGGAAACAGAGCAAGCCTCTGTCTCAAAAAAACAAAACAAAACAAAAAACAAAACCAACCAAACAAAAAAACAATAATTAAGAAAATATAATGGCCGGGCGCGGTGGCTCACGCCTGTAATCCTAGCACTCTGGGAGGCCGAGGCGGGCGGATTGTTTGAGCTCAGGAGTTCGAGACCAGCCTGAGCAAGAGTGAGACCCCGTCTCTACTAAAAATAGAAAGAAATGATCTGGACAACTAAAAATATATATATATAAAAATTAGCCGGGCATGGTGGCTCATGCCTGTAGTCCCAGCTACTTGGGAGGCTGAGGCAGGAGAATCATTTGAACCCAGAAGTTTAAGGGCTGCAGTGAGCCATGATGATGCCACTGCACTCTAGCCTAGGAAACAGAGCAAGCCTCTGTCTCAAAAAAACAAAACAAAACAAAAAACAAAACCAACCAAACAAAAAAACAATAATTAAGAAAATATAATGGCCGGGCGCGGTGGCTCACGCCTGTAATCCTAGCACTCTGGGAGGCCGAGGCGGGAGGATTGCTTGAGCTCAGGAGTTCGAGACCAGCCTGAGCAAGAGCGAGACCCCGTCTCTACTAAAAATAGAAAGAAATTATCTGGACAACTAAAAATATATATATATAAAAATTAGCCGGGCATGGTGGCGCGTGCCTGTAGTCCCAGCTACTCGAGAGGCTGAGGCAGAAGGATCGCTTGAGCCCGGGAGTTTGAGGTTGCTGTGAGCTAGGCTGACGCCACAGCACTCTAGCCAGGGCAACAGAGCCAGACTCTGTTTCAAAAAAAAGAAAAGAAAATATAACGACTCTTGTGTAGAAACTCACCACATGGGCAAGTGATATAGCTGAACTGTGAGAGTTAAATAAAAAAAACCCAAAAACAACAACCAACCCTTAAAACAACAAGGGCAGCGAACTTACCAATGAAGCCCATACTCCTTCCCAGCACAAAGATGCCATTGAGGGCTCCAATGTCAATATATTCATCAGCTTCCTCCCTGCAACACACAATCAACTTGTAGTTTTAAAATGGCTCACATGACCGTCCTCCTCCTGACAGACAGCACTATTTCTGCCCAGGAACAAGAAGCTCTCTTTGGTTTCTAAGTAGAAAAGATGAGTGTTCTGGGTGGCTAGGATAACAGGCAATTTTTTTTTATTCTTTATACCTCTGCTTATTTTCTAAATCCTCTATAATGAGCATGCATTATTTTTATAATTGAAAGGAAACAACAAAAATAAGTCAATGTTATGAGGAAGAAAATGGCTGCGATGCTTACCGAGTGAAGGACCCGCAGTGTCTAAGCATGTCTACAAATGAAACTCCAATGAAACCATCTACATTCAGGATAAGATTTGGTTTCTGGGAAGGCAAAAAAATTCAAAGCGTTTATCATTATTTCTCATTTTTTCTTTGTGATTTTCCACTGTTACCAATACCACTATTACTATGAATTTTGTCCACCATTCAAAACCTCCCACTAACCCAGTTACTCAGGAGGCTGAGGTGGGAGAATGGCTTGAGCCCAGGAGTTCGAAACCAGCCTAGGCAATATAGCCAAGACTCCATCCCGAAAAAAAAAAAATATCCCCAAAACAAAAACCTCCCACCAAAATATCCCCATTGGTTAAAACTGTGTCTCACTCAGCTCAATTCCCAGCACCTTGCAACGGACCCGACACCTAGTTGACATTTAATACATGTCTGCTGAATTTAGTTATGCAACAGAAATAAAAATTTCCAGAAAACCAGATTTCTTTCTTTTTTTTTTTTTTTTTTTTTGAGACAGAGTCTCACTCTGTTGCCTGGGCTAGAGTGCCGTGGTGTCAGCCTAGTTCACAGCAACCTCAAACTCCTGGGCTCAAGTGATCCTTCTGCCTCAGCCTCCCGGGTAGCTGGGACTACAGGCATACGCCACCATGCCCGGCTAATTTTTTTTTCCTATATATATTTTTAGTTGTCCAGCTAATTTCTTTCTATTTTTAGTAGAGACAGGGGTCTCGCTCTTGCTCAGGCTGGTCTTGAACTCCTGACCTTGAGAGATCCTCCCACCTCGGTCTCCCAGAGTGCTAGAGTTACAGGTGTGAGCCACCACGCCTGGCCAAACCAGATTGATTTTAGCTGCATAATCAAAATGTAACTTGGCTCTCATTTCCACCAAGAAATTCACCTAACATATGATTAAGGGAATTAGAGAATTTTTTTCTTTGTTACCTTTGAGGTGGTAATCTTCTCCACTTCCAGTGCATAATCGAGCAGAGGGGTGGCAGGGAAATGCTGTTTGACATAATCTTTGAGGATCTGCACTCGCATGTCTGGGTTGTTTATCTACAAATAGACCCAAGGTTACAGAGGAACCCACTCACACGCTGCTGTTAAGGGATATGTTTGCATTTGTGTCACAGGTGATCAGAACTGTACATGTCTTATCCCAGAGCCCATTCAGGGACCTGATGATCCACGTGTGTGATTTCATGTGGCACCTACTGTGACACTGATGTGGGGCTGAAGGTTTGTGAAGTCCTCTCATATCTCATTTGCGACACAAAACCACCTTTTGTAAGTTCTCTCTTTGACGTTACAGCTGAGCCCTGGAGATGTTCAGGGAGCTGGCCAGGTAGGTCCCACAGTGTGATACCTCGGGGCTGGCACTTGCCCACTCTCCAACCCAGAGTCTTAGGTTCCACCCACGAGCCATGCTGCCCACCAGCTCTGTGGCCTAGGCATGCTGGAACAAAATTCTACACATGTCAGGAGTAGGACAGTAAAGTATCCCCCAAATTTTAGGAAAAACTCCAGACCTGCAATGAATGAAATTAACCATCTGTTAAGAGACCCACATCTGTCAGTGGGGGCGTGAGACAATCCAGGCAACGTATATGCCAAATCCCAATATCACAGCAACTTCCTCCCTCAGCAAAGAGACACACCAGGTCAGTGTGGCCTCCAGAAGGAAGGAACCCAAAGACTGAGAGTGGCAGTGCAGGTCTAGTGTTATCTTACAAAGAGGCCCTATACTGTGGATGGGAAAGGTGTTATCTGCTCAGGAGCTAGGGGTGGCTGAGCAAAGTTCAGCAAGGCCTGGATGGGATGTCCCTCCGTGCTAACCACCTTCCCTGGTTGGTTCTAATCCAGTCCTTGCTTATCAATCGACCTCTGGATGTCTAACCTGAGATGGCCAAGTGTTCAGCTGTCTGGAAGTGGGTGTCCTGAATCACATGCATGACCCTCTTGTATTAATGTGAGTCACGTTTCCCACCTAGATCGGTGGAGTGCCTGACTAAATGAAGTTTCTGGAGCTACAAAGCCAAGGAACGTAGGGCAAAGGGACCTACTAAGAAGCTGTCCCTGTGAGCCCCTAAACAGCTGCCAACCATCTCATCTTTCTCTCTGGTTTGTAAACACAACGCATTACGAGGACACATAGAGGACACAGGCCCTGTGTGAGACCATATTAACTGTAAAATATTTACTGTCCTTCCCCACTGGTCTCTCCCAATCAGGCTTGGCTTCATATTATCACTCTTCCTGCCCCAGGGACATTAGGCTTAACCCTTTGACTTGCTTGGCCAATGAAATGTGAGCGCAAGTGAACCACACAACTCCAGGCAGAAGCTTTTAAGAACCTTCCCGCGGTCTTACTGTTGCTCTTTTCTTGCTGACATGAGGCCAGCACATCCCAGATAGAGGCTGCTTGTTCAGCAAAGACGTTTGTAGTGTGAATAAGAAATAAACCTTTCTATTGTAAGCCTCTGAGATTTCTGGAGTTGTTTGTCACTGTAGCATGAAACGTTATTTAACCTATGGTGACCTTTATGTCTCCTCAACTCTGGCCTTAGTCTGTCCTCCTGTAAGATTCATTTGGGAAGCCAAAGTTACCAAGTTTCCATTTCATCATATTTTCACACAACTGAAAGAGATTTAAACTGTTAAGAGCAATCTGTATGATAAAATGGATAAAATTGCTGCCTTCTATTCAGCCTGTCAATATGTCCAAAGTTTTGCATGTTGGAGTCGAGAGTTCGAGTGCTCCCAGCTAAACTGATGCCCTCCTGTCACCACCCACCCTGTAGAGCCATCCCCCTTCTCCAGGAGAGCAACTCACCGATTTCACTCGGTGACCAATACCCATGATCAGTTTCCCTTCCTTCTTCATCTTGTTCACAAACTCCATGGGGATAATGCCACTGTCAAAGGCTTTACTGAACATCTTGGCTGCTGCGTCCAAGGCACCCCCAAACCGATCCCCCTGGAGGAGAAACGTGAGCTGTAAGAGTTTCCTTCAGCTTTGCAAACCAACCCAGCACGTCCCGAACAGCCCTCAGCACAAGGTTTTATACTCAGGGGCACCTTCTAAGGACCCTGCTGTGGCAGAGCAGCATGATGCCAAAGCCCAGTGTCCCCCCTGTTCACCTCCTAGGATGACAGAACTTACAATGGTGAGCAGCCCCGAGGTGAGGCTGGAGACCAGGTCCTTCCCAGCTCGGGCACAGATGATGGTGTTGTGAGCCCCAGAGACGGCTGGCCCATGATCAGCTGTCACCATCAGACACATCTCAATGAACTGGCAAGAGTACTTGGGCAACCTAGAGGAGGGTGTGTGAGCAGTGAGGAGAGGTGAACAAGGCCATGCTCCTACTTTCTCCCATCTCCCCGAACAAGTCATGCAAATTCAGGAAGGGTGGCTACCTCCCAATCCAAGTCTAAGACTATTGTACAACTCTAAGGCAAAATCTCCTGATTCTTCGGTAGCTCTGGGTTTTGCTGTTATCAAATGCTGCTTTTAAAATAGAATTTGCAACCAAGGTTTGCAGTCTCTTCTTTGGGCAGCAGTTTTCAGCATGAGTTGCTACACCCGGATTTGACCTGTACTTGTGGCTACTCTGCCAGACAGAGAGGTGAGACTCCTGTCCCTTTCACAGTGTAAGAGGCCCCAAGCCTCCTTCCTGCAGTGTTCAACCTCCCAATAAAGATCAAGAACAAAGTCTGGAGATGTGGGAAGCAACAGCAGAGACAGAGAGACCTGCTAAGGTCTCCCAGGTGTTACAGGCTGTGAACTTTTCCCAAGAAGAGCCCAAAGTAGGACCATGACCCATCTCTCTGCAGGTGAGGGCAAGACACAACCAAGACTCTGATCCAGCTTCTGCCTAGTGCCACCTCAAGCATGAATCACATGCTCACTGGCTCCCTTGCCCAGCTGTCAGTCTTAGGGGAAGGCTAAACTTGGGAGTTGCAGAGAAAACCAATTTTTTCTAACATGCAGGCTGATGAGATGCAAATTTGCAAAGAGAACACAATATAAGGTACTTCGTGTCTGTTCAGCAACTCTCCCAGGCCCCCGCTCCTTAGGCTCCCAGATCTTTCCAGTTCTTCCCCGTTAAACACTACCTTTCTGTCACGAGGTCTGCATTTACTCCATCCTGTTTCTTTATATATTTTTTTTATTTTTTGCTTGATTTTATTTTTGTTTTTTAAAAAAATATGGAATGCTTCATGAATTCGCATGTCATCCTTGCGCAGGGGCCATGCTAATCTTCTCCGTATCGTTCCAATTTTAGTATGTGTGCTGCCGAAGTGAACACTGTCCTGTTTCTTTAAAAGTTCCCAAGGGAAAGGGGCTGTTCTAAGACCTCTGATAAGGTCATTGCTTTTGGCTTCTCTTGGTACAGACTGGTCCTTCTGCCCTTGGAAGACTTAGGAATAGCTTTGTCTCATTCCTCTGGCCTTTCAGTTGACTTGTGGCCCTCAAGACTGACCTTGGATATACCCCCCAAGCCTGCCCACCCCTCTTCCTTTTGTCAGGGTAAATGGTTAACTCTGCCCTGTGTGCCTTACCTCTTCTGGAACCAGAGGAGGCCGAGGACCCCACCAATGCCCATCTCTTCCTTGAAGACCTCGGTGATGGGCATGCCCGCATAGATGAGCTCCTGTCCTCGCTCGTCACAGATGCTGGTCATGAACGAGGCAGGTTTGCGGATCAAACCCAGCTCCTGGGCAGAGGGAAGCAGGGTCGTGGTGACCACCATAGATATTTCCAGGACTGCCCCACTTTGTGTCCCCTGCAGGTGTCTTAAAACTCTGGCAAGCCAAGCAACAACTCTCAGACAAACTCTTCCCGAGAAAGATATGTAAAAGCCCTTGTATTAGATCATCAAGGGCATAGAAAACAGGAACGCCATGGCCAGGTACCCGCTTTGCATCAGCACTCTTTTGGTCCTTCACGGAGTGTTTGCTGGGCCAGGCAGGACACTAAGCAGTTTACAACCATCACTTCATTTTAACTTCACTAAGGAGAATCATTCCTTGTGTTATAGTGAAAAAAGGAGGCGTAGACAGGCTCACTAACCAGCCCAAGGTCACCCGGATAAGAGATGATAAAATGAATCCAAAGGAAAATCTTAAAAACATTTCACATGCAGCTACCAACCCCCACCAAAATGTGCAGAGGTAGCAGCTGTGGAAATGGGGGTCCCCTCAGAATGTGCTTTACCCAGGGCAGGGACACTGAGCACCTGAATCCCCCATTTCCAGTGCTGGGACACAAGGAGGTATCATCGTCCAATTCTGTCCAACCCCATTTCTTCAATTCTCCCCTTTTGACATTTCAAAAAATGCTTGTAAGTTACATTTTTATTACAAAAGTAACATAAATACGTTCTCCTTTTTTAAAAATTTAAAACAGAACAAATATAGCTATTCCCCTCTGACTTCTGCCCCAATCTTGGTCTTATATCCCAGTGTTAGTTTAGTGGACATCTTTCTGGACCTTTCTTTCTCCACTTTCATTTACATAAACAGGTAGACACATGGAGAATATACAATGCTGTTTTGTGAGCATACGTTTTTCATAATCATAATAGATACACTGTTCCATAATGTGCTCAATGAATCTGAGCTCTATAAATGTCGATGCATACACAGACCTAGTTATTTCCTTTTAACTGCTATATGCCATCCCATTTTATGATAAAACCACAGCAGTTCACTGATAACAACTAAAAAAATATTCTGGATATGTTTCTTTGGGTGTTATATGAAAACATTTCTCTGATGTCACGTTCTAGATATGGAATTGCTGGGCCATAACATATAAGCATTTTCAAATTTCACTGGTGTTACCCAACTGCCATTCAGAAAGGTTATCCCAATTTCCACTCCCACCAACAATGAATAAACGCACCAGTTTCCTCAAACCTGTACAAACACAACATATTATCAAATATATTTTTTTTATCTTTGCTGATAAAAATTGGTATCACAGCTTTTACTTTGATTCTTGTTATAATGAGTTAGGTTGGGCATTTTTTCATGTTAAAATGCCATTCCGTACCCATTTTCTAGTGGGTTCTTGGTCTTTTAAACATTGATTTCTAAGAGTCCTTGTGTATTAAGAAAATCAGCTCTTCATCTATACCCCATAGACAATTAGGCCCAGTGGACTCTACTTCACCTCTGAACTCCCTTAGCAAGTGTGAGATACCTCTTAGGGGACATTCTTTGTCCCCAGCCCCCTCTGTGTCCAGGTGAGGCAATACAGATGTAAGAGACACACACCAGGCCTGGCCCTCCTGGGCTCTGCATGTGTTCTACCTGACCGTCAGAAGGGCCCCCTTACAAGACCCAGCACACAAGTAATGGGTGGAATCCAAGAGTTAATCATTGAGGTTTCTTAGGATGTCCCTTGGAGAAGTCTCCTTCAGGGACATGGTTTAGAGCACAAAGAAGTGACTACATGGTTGCTTCCACTAGTTAGGAGGGCCTGGCTTCCAGAAGTTGGAGCCAAATCGACTCAAAACCCACCACCTTATCCCCACGGCCAGGCTCCCCTGCCCACACTGTTAGGAACACACAAGGCACGTACTCTGGCCCAGGAGTAGTCCATGGGCACTGTCGGGGGCGGCACCTCCTGAGCAGGCACAATAGCTCCTTTGGCCACGAGATCTTCATACACAGACCTGGGAGAGAGGCGGGAGAAAAGATCCACATGGATTTTTTTATTCTGGGCTCTTCTAAGCCGTCCCAAAAATGCTCCTCCATCTAACCCAGCACTGTAGATGTCTTCAGCTCTGAGCCCTTTCCTGTCAGTGGCTTATTCTCACCAGCTGGATTCTGAGAACTAAATGAAAACAAGTTCTGGCCAAGACTGCACTCACCCCCTCCTCCCCACCGGCTTGTGTCCCTTTCTCTGGATGGAGCTTTATCGGAAGCTAAATTTGGAGGCCAAGGAAGGATAGCGGGGAGCAGCTGGGCAGGTTTACGAGGTAGAAACAGGAAGAGACCATAGGAAACGCACTAACTTTGTCAGACAGAGGTGACACTCTCTAAACACTTCCATGCTCATCTCTCATTTAAGGCTGCCAACTCCCAACCAACTGGATAGGCTCAGAAACTCAATGCATTTTAACAACAGCTTGAATGGCCTGTACCTGCTGCTTCTACAAACAAAATGAAAGGAAAGCCAAAGAGAAAGAGGATTTTGAACCACCCACATGACTGTACTAGACACAGGAATCTCAGCCACCCTATGCTGGAGAGACTGCTGACCCCAGGAGGGACTTGGAAAGGGAGAGGGCAGCTGGTGTCCTTCCCACGGTGCACTTACTGGATGATTTCTCCAAGCTCATCGAAGCTCCGGGGCACAAATACTCCTGCTTCCTTCAAAGCCTGGTTCTTGGCTACTGCGGTCTCAGAAGCCTGGTTGGCACAAGCTCCAGCATGGCCAAACTGGACCTGGAAGGCAAAGGAGAGCAGCTGCTTATTCCTCTGAGGGAGGACAAAGGACCTGGGAAACATCAGCACTGGTCATAGATGAGCACTGTGCTAAACACTTACATGAATCACATCATTCAAGCCTTAAGCCCGCTCACCAAATAGGCACGAAGGGGCTGGGTGCAGTGGCTCACACCTGTGATCCTAGCACTTTGGGAGGCCCAGGCAGGAGGATTGCTTGAGGCAGGAGTTTGAGACCAGCCTGAGCACCACAGTGAGACCCCGTCTCCACAAAAGTATAAAAATCAGCTGGTGTGGTGGCGCGTGCCTATAGTTCCAGCTACTCAGGAGGCTGAGGCAGGAGGATTGCTTGAGCCCAGGAGTTTGAGGTTGTAGTGAGCTATGATGACGCCACTGCACTCTAGCCCAAGCAAAAGGAAGAGTCCCTGCCCTAATAATAATGCAACAGAATATGGAAATGAGTAGGAGGAAGAGAAAGCCAATCAGAAGAGCTAAGTGGTGACTGTACAAAGTTGAGGTACAAATCCCTGGCTCAGGATGGGTAATCATAGCATTATCTAACCTGTTTAAATTTTAAATAACACTTACTAGGTACATCCAGACCCTTTTCTAAGAGCTTAATCACTCAATCTCTCAGTAGCTATGATGGTTTCCTATAATAAAGGAAGTGGAGGCACAGAGGGATAAAGTGACTTGCCAAGGTCACCCAGGTAGTACGTGGTAGCATTTGAATGCAGGCAATTTGGTCTCAGTCTGTGCTCTTAACCACTGAATAAAACAAAAGGGTGAAAAGGTTAGGAACTGCTGCTCCGGTTAGCAAA